ATTTCACCTTCGGAGTAGCTTCAAATTGTGCTTGAATTCCTTAACAGTAACGTATTGATAGTGGATCAGTTTCTTATGAATATAAAAAATACCGCCTAGGAATGGCACAGTCAATTCGTGGTAACCGATGAATGCGACTGTTGCAACTTGAATTATCAGATTCTAGGCAGGGAGTTGAGGGGCGTAAACTTGACTAGATTTAGAAATGGAGATGATAGCTTCCTGTAACTTTGTTCAAGGTTAGTAAATATTGATGTACGATATTTACCAACCTTACTTAAGAGCCATTTTGATTGGTACGAATTTGATAATTTAAAATGAATGTAATACTAGAATCGCGAAATTTTGTAGATTGAACAATAGTGCGTTTAGGGTTAGAAGTATTGGATTTTAATTTCATCAGTTGTTCATATAAGGCTCTTCAGGTTTGTTGCGTTATGGTATGCTAACAAAATCTCGTAGTTGACATAAATATAGCAGTTTATAATTAACTAACCTGAAATCAGAGAGAATCGTTGCTGCATTTTTTTGCGAAATTGATGTTATCGTAATTTAGCATCAATATACGGTGCTAGTGTAATTTTCAATGTCTAGATGACAAATATTGCAATGTTTTTGATGTCTTAAATCTATCAAGATCTGCATGTAATAATATATATATAAGCAGCAAGGTGGACTTACAAGTAATCTGAAAATTTAAATAACAATGCAAAATTAGCATTGCAAGGGCAGTTTATTATAAGACAGGTAATACTTCACGTAAGATACATTAATAAAATATAATAAGAATTATAATACTAGGCAATTATAACAAAAAGAATTTGTCGACGGTTATTCTACTTTCCTACTTCCGGTTTCGGCACAACTTTTCATCTAGACTCCGTAACTTGTCTAGAAATAGAACAGCTAATTAGAATTGCATACTTACAGTAACCTTTTAGGAAAAATTAGCTACCGATAACTGAAACCGTGAATCATTCTAAAATTCCGACAAACTGCAAGCAACGAAAGCTAAGTGTTTAAATTGCATTAGAGTGATATTTAACAGTATTGTATACGAACCAGTTTGTAGAAATTTCACGTATTATTAAGCCAATTTAGGATTTGGACAATATTAAAGTATCCAAAAAGTTACAAAATGGATTAAAATGGATTAAATAACCATTTCTATCAGTTGTGTCTATCTTTGTAATGGTAACGGTCTAGTCAGATGCTTGTGACATAAAACTATAACATCTGTTGAAATTTAAGAAGTTAGCGCATGCTGCGGAATATATATGTTACTATATATCACAACAATAGAGATAAATATTTGTATCTTTCTTTATTACTATTTCCTGTTCCAATTATTATTTTGACGCCATAAGCTCTTCAAAGGTAGCCATGAAAAATTAATTATAGCTAAATTAACAGCAAATGGAAACTTAATCATGTAGCATTTATTCATAAAATGTTCACTTTCTTTATTTTGGCCTTCCTGTTCTAATCTTAACGATAATAATATTATCTTCTATTCATGTAGTTTTTTTTAACACCTTTTTGCACTTAAATAATTTACTAAGTATTAATCATGGCAATCTGATCGCTGTTTATGGGTGACATTTCGAAGGAATAGATGCCGTTATAGAGATATGATTCCAGCGACATTATTTTTACTGATTTCGGTGATCATTCTTGTATCATGATCATATTTTTAAATAGCTACAGAGATTCATTAACAATGAGGAAAACAAGTGTGATAGAATCTGATCACGAAAATTTTAAAGTTGTAGAAAATTAGAACTTTATTAGATCTAATACAAAGACTAGCTACACACAGCTCTACTCTAGCCGAATACAACTACTGAAAGACTTCTAGAAAGAACAATCAGATAATCTAATGTTTCCTACTTTTATACTCTCCGTAGCCTTCGCCGCTACAATTAGCATAGTAGGATTCTATCATATTTACACATATTCAGCTTATTATTGGTTACATTATTTTACAGCGAACCATCATTAATCTAATATGGATATGATTATCGTATTTTCGTAGAAATTATCTCTACCACTCAAAGTAAAATGTACTAAGCATATCCTAATATATGGTTTACAATTGTTATTCTACCTCTAACCTTATTATTAGCTCAACACCTTACTGCACGATATATATATATATATAGTCACATGTACTCTAGCATAGAGTCTATGCTTACGGTCTATAATTATAGGCTACTAAAGATATTATAAGATAAATATAGAAAAGACACTACCGTACATCATGCTAAACATGGCTAATAGTCTACAATCACAACGCTAAGTTACTTTACAACAATTTAAAACTATGATATTTCACTGTAACTTAAGTTAATATTGATATGTAAATTAGTAAGAATGGTACTGTTCAAGTGCGTAAGAACACTTTGCTAAATATGGCTAATAATTATGAGCCTCGTATATCAATATGGATTATGTTACAGAATGGTTAAAAAGTGTTTGCAATAACGTTACCATGCGGGAGCATACGGCTGTTTTTGATCACCTCTTAGATTAATAAGTATATTATTAGCCGTGCCTAGCATATTACATCTCAGTTTAATTGTTAGCCATGTATAGCATAGTGTTCTTACAAACTGTAAGCCCCTGTGTATAAAGATATCCTGACAGAATATCAATGGCCATAGACATCAAATAGTAAATTGCTTCGTTACTATTTCTGGTAGCAATACATATACATTATATTATATATATATATAAGTCCCCCTATCGAAACTTATCTACAATACTTGGTCATAGTAGTCTATCATGTATAGGCTCAGATACTGACTATATATTCCAAATTTGCTATTGATATGATCAAGGAATGAAGTTAAAGAAATTAAGGGCCTAAGGAAACTAGTATTTCTACAATAGCAATAATAACAGTTAAACGAAAGACAGCACATGAGAGCCAATACATGAATGCCAACACGACTGTTATTAAGAGTGAAAAACACTCTTTCCATTATAAAAATTTTACTATTAACTTATAAGATATTCCATCAATTGCTATAATTTATAGTACCTTTCAATCGTATAATTAGAGCTACTCAGAAATTTAAAAAATTTGCCACTTGATAGATTATACTGATGAAAAGGCTTAGAGTATATATCGTAAACGATTAAAAAATTAGGAAAATATTATGTTTGGCCACTAGATTACCTCATAAGAACGCTACTGAAAATGTAATCATGATACATCTTAAGTATCACTAAATTAAAGTAAAATATTCAATGAACACCAATAAGATGTTATCGAGATCTGTAGAATAACTCATACCAATTATTGTCAGCATATCTTTTTTTTAAATACAGGCAGGTAGAAAATGCCAACAGCTTGAGAAGAGAGTAAAGTGTATGATCGGAAATAAAAGGGTCACTATTAAATTCGTTTATCCGTGTGACCTTTAAAGCTGTTACTATTATTTTTGGTAACATAAACAGATGATAAACTCAAATTGTAATAGTATTAAGAAGAATTCGAAATAATTTAAATTACTTACTGACTCGTATTTATTGAAATAATTGCGAAGACTATACAGGTACCGTAATTTCTTAACAAATAAAATAGTAAGGTAAAGTATTGAATATAACCCTAGTTCAGGATATCTGACTAACTGAGACTATACATTACGAATACCGGCCTATATCAGTAACACTGACCCACCTATCTCTGATATTTACAACATTCGCATTGCTTAGCTACGTAAAATATCATAATCCGAATACAATTTAATACATGAGAATGATGAGGTTGATAGTCAATGACGACCAATTTATGAACACGGATTCAATTCTGTTTGACGATACACTCGTCGCGAAATAGGTAAAACCGAATTAAAATTAAGTTTAACTTTACTCAAGTCTATATCGTGCAATATGCTGGCTTCATCGGACTGCGCTACAAAGCTATCATTTAGCCAACGGATGGAGCAGCATACGTTGACACGATATATTAGAGCATTGTTTACAATACTGTAATTTAGTGTAATGCATAGTAAAATGTATTCATACGTCCAACGCTGCTTATGCAATTATTTTTAATTTTTCTAGCACGTATGGAAGCTATCGAATATTATATCAATGTTGAAGAAAATAATTCTGGAAGTAACAACGAATAGTAATCGCGTGATAAAAGATAGCCGGAAGTGGTTAACCTTATCTTGTGATAGCTGCATGATTCCAATCTATGAATAAACTGATCAATATTTGCTTGGCGATCAAATATTAATAGAACAGATTAGCTGCAACACTACAACTAGACTTGATTTCCTTAGTAATACTATGTAATGCATGTCTCAAAAACTACCATCTCCTACCAATTGCAAGTTACAGCAACCATAGTTCTCGCTAGATTTACCAATTGTACAGTAGTTTTATTGCAGCATATGTTAATTTACACTATAGTAACGTATACATTCCATTCCATTCGCTAGATATGTATTATAATTTCATAACGCTGTCTAGCAAATACGTATCTAAATAGACTTTAGTATTATTGTGGAATTTCAGGTTAAGTAATAATGGTTATACTTTGAACCTAAGTAAAATTTATTCCTTGGAAACATAAAGTCTCACCGTGCAACTGACTGTGATAAGTACTGCCGCTAGTGCTAGTGGACTATATTAAATGATTTGTATTTATCTGCGTTTAATTTTATTTACCATAAACAATTACCGTTACAAAATTTGCAAGCAAAAATCAAGATCTGATTCGCGTAGTATGTTCCTAGCAAGACTTCAACATTATACAATATCTCACTCTATGATTAACAGAAAACTTTAAAAGACTAAAATTACAGTCATTTAAAATTTTAATTCATAGTCCGTAATCCTAAAATGTTTGATAAGTTTAGAAACTATCATGAAAGTACGTAAAATAAATCTAACTAGTATTGATATCAATAAAACCATCTTGCTATGGTATCCAACACTGGAATAGAACCTTAATCAGATTATGCAGTTATGAATAAGCTTGATGACTAAGATTCCTCCGATGCTTTTTCTGCCAATGCAGTAAGTGCCTTAATCCACTTTGCAATACCATTTAATATACTCTCAACCCTAACGATGCTTAAATTCGATGAATGTTGGTGGATATTTAGTCGATTGTTTTTAGCCTATCAAAATGGACCGATTCATTATAAAAAATTCAGGCTTACTACTTATACTGCAATAGCAAATAAGATCGTAAAAATAACCATCCATTTAGTGAATAATGCACGTAATAATATTATTTACGATGCCAATTTATAGAATATCATTTTATATGATAGATGTCATTGGATGTATAGAATATATTATACAGATGGTGTCATGGTCACTTCTATTAGTTACAGACTGTAACATTTTTTTACCTACTATTATTTACAATTGAGAAAATACTGTACCAAGCAGCTAAAGATACTATCTTTAATACTATGAACATCTATTACTCGTATAATCAATTGTTCTTTAAGAGTATATTATGGTGCTGAAGCAAATGTAATTGTAGATTTAAAAACGCCAACTAGATCATAGTATTGTATTCAAAATTTGAGTACATTACAATAATTTTTACACGATGTTCATTGCGGTTATTGGAATTAAAAATGTACTTAAATTAAATGTTCTGCTAGATTTAAGTATCTAAAGGCTTGAAAGTAAGCATAGAACTGAAAAAGTACGATATTAGTAATACCTGAATGAACGTTCGTACCTATTAACATAATCTACTTTGTAAATTATTTATTAATTATTTAGTAATAATGTTGACGAAGAAGCTGGAAGAGAGCTATAAGGATGGATCATTATACAGTACAACTCAAAATATGATTTCATAGCTTTTAGCTTTATATTATCAACTAGTAAGTCTTCCATTCAAGGAAACGGCCAGAAAACACACTATCGGTAACTGATTCATTAACTGTTAATGAAAATTTTATTTACTGGTTTACCGCTTTCTTACATCATTTCTTAAAGGTATCTTTAATAAAATTAGATACTTTGCTTGTTTCTCGTAATCTTTATTCAATTTTTACCTCAAGATCGACGATCATATGTTTGGAAATCTTTTTCAGGCATTCTCGAGGCCTAACCTATTCAGTATATGGTAGCATATATGTAATATTTTTGGAAGGTTAAATATTAAGTGAAATAATTGGTTGTATACACGGTAGTATAAATAGCAAATGAATTATAAATTGTTTAGAATTATTTAGATCAACGTCTAGTAAGGCTATCATTTCGTTACTAAAAGAAGTTGCCCCTGTAATACTATTAAGTTACTATAATTTACTCAATCATCAGTCACGGTGAGTACTCACAAAATGAAGTAGCTCTAGGAATAAATTAGTATAATAGCGGTGCATTCTCCCAAATTGTCGCAAGCTATCCGCATCAAATGACTGACAATTTACGATTTCATTTGCCATCAGTTGCGCCAAAACGCCGTTATTGATGATTAATAATCCAATATTATGGATTAAAATATTAACATGGTGGCTTAGGATATTGATGTTAGCATCTTTTACGTCTGCAGGTATATTCTAAGATTTAGGTATGTTAACATTAGTATGTTAAGACTAGAGTTAATTTAAAGGTATTTTTAATTTACCATTTCTTCTTTTAGTTTAAAGAGGGAAAAGTCAAAGATCATATTATAGACTGTCATTAATTTCTTTTCTTTGCACCACAGCAGCAGTTTGAAAGTATCGTTATATTCCGGTACCGTCTTGGATAAATGATATTTTAAATCCTTCAAATACTTGTGCTTATCCCCACCGCATTCATCCACGATTGGAGCTATGGTTAATGCGTGGCAGTTTCCGATGAAAACCATTAATATATATGCTATTACGAATGATAAATTATGAATATCCCAGATCAGAGCAGTATCGTTACATTAATTAATTAAGAAGACTTGAACTTGCTTTTCAAGTTATTTGATATCGACGATATACTCAAGATAAACAAGATTCTAAAAACCATCAACTAATTCTAAACTGAAAAACTACAGCATATTGCTATGTCTGTTCACTAGTACCAGTATCATTATCGTATTAAGTCCAAATTTGAAATAACCGTAAGATATACCCGATCTATCAAATTCCTGGTAATCATTAAGAATAGGTTACTCAAGAGTAAATATACAGTATAATGCTATATGAAGATCTCTTTTAATGGGTATAAATAACTCATCTCTGATTTAAAAAATTAGCCATAATCCTGGAAACAGTATTGTCTAAGGTTGCGGCACTTACTCGTATTCTTAGAAGCTAAACCGCGTAAGCAGCTTATCGATATAAACAATAATAACTGCAATCTTGAATACACATTAAGACATTCAATTTCTAATTGCGTGGTAAGTGAAATGAGTAACTACAAGTAGTTTTAAGTACCTATTGAACTAGCGTATGCAATAGTGGCACCAAAATCGCCTTTATTATATCAAAAAGTGATAAGTTGTCCATACAAAAGTAGTTCATTCTTCCGCTTGGATACAATATTGATTTAAAGATGATCGTTTAACAAACTATTATATATCGTTGACTGAATCCAAATTTCAACTAAAATATGCCTATATTCCAAAGATATACTATACTCTACTAACGTTTCTAGTTCAGATTTTATGTATACGTTAAAGTACCATTTGTAATATATCGCAATAAGCGATTTATTGCATAGAAATGATAATTTTCATTTAATCTAGTGAGCCAGTAACATGCTACCTCTAAACTTGATGGAATGTAAAATATTATTATTGGAATAATTCTTCAACATAAAATAGTAGCGATCAAATAAATAAAGTACAAGTTTTTCGTCGGATTTAGAATAATATTCCAGTACATTAAATACTCTTAATAAAATCACTTGGAAGAAATCTATAATGTTTGATGTAGCCTAACCTGCACAAGTATACAAACTTTCCTTTGACATTATCTTGCTAATTTCAATGACTTTGGAGGCAATTTTGATCTATTTATCCCTTAATTTTAAGAATCAATTAATGTAGCATACGTGTTTACATTGAGAGTAGAAGTGAAAGCAATCAATTTTTATATTTTCCAGCCAACTGTGTATCCTATTATTCTCTCAATTTAACTGAGCATTAATGACTCGATCATACTTTCTAACAATGGTTACAAAACGCCTAAATCCCACATCGGAAACTTAAGATTAGTAATAAATAATACGATTAAATTTATGAGAGGATATCTATTCAGAGTCTAGAAGCATTATTTTTACCTTTGTTTATTCCTGGAAATCTGACATTGTGAGAATTGAAAAGAATTGAAAAGGACTGTATTTAAAGTTGCTACCCTAATTTTCAAATCGCAATTATTCCTTGTTATCAGTCCATAACCTTACCTGTAAATCAATCTATGTGAACGCGACAAACTGGCGACAAAAAGTAAAGATCGCTAAACATTAATATGCAAAAGCTTCAAATATTATACCATGTTATTTGACACGTTAAACATTTAATTTATAGAGCATTTTTATTTCGAAAAAGTCACAGTTGACTTTTTCCTTTATTGAGATTATACATGAAAATAATTAATAAGTTTTCAGATATAAAACGATGTCTATCACCACTTATAGATAAGTAATTTACGAATGTATTCTTTGTGGTTGTCACCGCTAATAGTTTTACGGAGCAAAAAAGTTTTAGAGGTGGCAAATTTCGGTAAGCTATTATCTTTAATGAAATAAAACATTAAATAATTTAATTTTAACTGTTACATGAATAAACATAGTAATGAATGATAAGTTATTAAAAAAATAAGCCATTTGTCCTTGTGCTGCCCACTAAAGAGAGAGTAAATTATGCTTTTTTCCTAACCATAATTCTCCATTATAATTAAATATTATTTTAACTACAGGTACCCCAAAGAGAATCAATAAACAAGCTAAACATTCATTAAGTATGATAATAAGCCTAAATAGTTCGGCATTCTTATAGAAATCTTCATTGTTTGATATCATTTTATATGTCTACTGTACCCTCACAAATCGATTCGTTGAAAGTGGTTGCTGCCGTTCTAAATTAATGTATTATTCTATTCAATCTTATGATGAGATCGCACGCAATATGATATCACCAATCCTTTTAGAATCTAAAATATCTAACCGTTTCGTCTGCAGACTGTCAGAATATTTAGGACAGTATTGATAATGGCCGTTGATTGATCGCAATAACTCCCACACCCTTTCCATCTATAGAACCAAAAAATACTTTATCTACTGAAGTCCATTAAGAAATCTTCATGCGAAAATGCTTCAACTAATTCTCCTATATCTTAAGCGGTTAGTAACAATTTTCATAGTAATCTAAGTCACAGAGTGCTTAAATCTGCTCTGTAGAAACATAGTTACTTTACCTGCTAAAGCCGATAAGTAATTTTTTAGGACTTATAACTGAATAAGAGGTATTGTGAATTCTTATTTACTGATTTTGAGCTGATTTATTTCAATATGAGCATGTCAATAAATGATGGGTTTTATTTACATTTTCTATTCGCTTTTGTGATAAACTTGCAAAATATTAGCTATTACGTGGTTAAATTAGCAAATTAATAATTATGTCTGCTTGCAAGAAATCGACACATTAATTTAAAGCATTCTACACCTAATAATTTCTACGTCATTACTGGGAATGATTATGCAATATTTCCTAATAAAAATATTTCAATACCATTTACTTATTATAAGATTTCTTAATAATAAACTTATGATATGAGAAGTTTTGTGCGAAAGCTTTCTAGAAATTATCTCTGAGATTTGTTTTCAGGTCACGTAGCTGATGCGATCAATCATTCATTAAATCGAATCCAGATTTATTACTAAAATAGTTTGGCAACAATATAGAAGTAGACTTTTAAGTTATAAGAAATAGTAAGCACCCCGTTTTTGCTAAAGCTTATTTCCAATCTGGATTTATTAACATAAGTATGGTCTTAAAAATCGTTGTTTCAATAACTCATGGTTGATGACAAATCAATTAGAGATTAGAAATATCACGCTAAATCACTTTCTAAATGAAACTATACCATTTTCTCATACTTATGATCAATAACATCACCTATCGATAAACAATGGAAGTGTGTGCAATTCTATGCGTGTTGGCATAAAAATTGCATATTTTACCCGCTTACAATGTTTAAATATCACTACAGTTAAACTTCTCCAGTACATCTATCCAACTGGCAAGTAGTGGAAAGAATGAAAGATAGAGTCTATATTGCCCTTTTGATATGAATTATTGAGCCTAAATAACGATGAAAACATGTATTTAAGTTATTTACCCTTCACGTTGCAATAACTAGGGCTCAAATTTAATTAACTATTGTAGCAGTTATAATCTATCCATTTACGAGTGTATTTTATTGTCCACTGTGATACTAATAGAAAACTGCATTGTAAATAGCATATAGTCGATCAAATAAATTCAAGAAATCGAAACATTATAAAATGCAGAAGAGTCGCTGATATAAATGGTGGCTTGAATTCAGTAATTCCTACTGTCATAGTAACTATAGCTTATTTTCGTGTCACTTGAGGACTTAAATAATATGCGTATCGACGATTGATTGACGGATAGAATATTTGTATTAAAGTTCCAGTATATCCGTAATTGTCTTAGTGCGAGTCAGTTAGAAATTAACTTTAAGCATCACAATGAAAATGTAATCTGTTTATTTACTTTATTTTAATATAAATGCTAATGCGCTCAAGCCAACGTTTAACACCGACAATATAGATAGATTACTATAAATTCCAATAGAAATGCAGCTATAAATGCTGCTGAATTTCATCGTTCTCGAACTAATAAATTTCAAGAAGACATCAATTTATCTTAATGAGTAGAAAATTATTGTTTATTCTTGTAAAATAAAAAATTAATATCTTTCCATTTTCACAATAATCAATCACCTAATTCGCCAAAGGAATGAATAAGATTAGTATAGTAGATTTAGATGTTTTTTATTATCGCCTATTATTAATGTCTAATAGCATTAAAGTATGATACAAACTCTTGCGATATTATAAATAATGCGTGAATCTATCCTTGATGGTACATGATATAAGATTTAACAGTGAATTCCATATTGTCTGCAGTATGCTGCATATAATTCCAAAAAGATAAAATTATGTATTAAAACCATTACATTTCCTCTGAAATGAATGACTGATTGATAATTAAAAAAATAATGCGTGCCTGAGACACCAAAGTACATACTTAATTTCGCACTTAAGTTTACCATAAATTTGCCTAAATCATTTTGTTCTTTTCTTTCAGATGTACTCTATCTCTTTTAATTGCAATTATCGCTGATACTAGTGACTATTATTTTTCTAGGAAATCGCTACGTTTCCCTCTATCAGATTTTTATGCGGTTGCACTGGTAAACAAATCTAGTATTATGACGACGATGCTATATTGTGTTTTAACTTCATCATGAATCCATTTAATAGCTCATACTGCCAACGATAACAATAACTTAAATAAGAAATAATCTCGAAATTATTCATAGAATTTGCGGTTGTTGACATTTCTGTAAATACTTTTTAAATTTCAGTCAAGTGTCAGGATGTTGATCGTCATCATTCATATGCTATTGTAGTATTTTAAGGGAAATTTAAGGCCTAATAGTTGCGCTTAATTAGCAATAATAACCACTGTGTAGAAAGCAACCAGGTTCTGATTTTGTACGGCATTTCTCATGAATTAAGTAAAAATGTCAGCTATTAAATTCTTACTAAGCGAGTAAAATTGTACATAGAAATGATAACTTAATAAATATCATAATCTACCTGTTCGTTTTGGAAAATGGAAGGTATCTGAAGAATTTCATTATGATAGAAACTTTATGATTAAAATTAGTTCTGCTTTTGCTCTATTGCATTACTACACTATCGTAAAGTCAATTCCTATATTTTGATCAACTGTGTAAAATCTACCTTTATTAGAGAAAAACTATCTACTAATAGCATTTATCTTGACAAATAGAAAACCCATAATATTGGATGTATTTATTCTACGAAAATCATCAAAAAAGTAAATTGTGTTAGTACGGTAGTTTTTTTGCTACCTAAGCTATCGATGCTAAGGGAAACTAAGTGATTGGAACTGCACTTGCTTTTAAAGACATAATTTTTGAATAAAAATAGTAAGAATATCAAAAATCTAAGATATTTACTTCTGCCTGTTAATGTAAAATGATGTAATTACTGTAGTAACGGTCATTGATTTCCTATGTATCGCTTTATTTCGATCTTTCAGGAGAGATTAAAATTTGTCAGGTTTATTTTTGAAGTAATAAATAAAGTAAATCTAATACGTGACATAGCCACCATACAACTATTTAGTTACATTAACAGACTAGCCTACGTCACATAGTAAGGTTTATTTTAAAGTATTAAATTTGACCTGAAACATTTTACAATGATTTTATTCTCTTTAAATTTCTCAATATGGGAATATCGAGTTTCGGTCATTTCAAGAACGCATAAAACTTTAGGAACGGCCATGGTCGAATAGGATCGTAGTATACCATCAAAAATTGGCATTTCTTTCCTGCATTCTGCTACTGTAAACGTTCCGAGGATCCAGCAAGGCCATTCTTGAGAATTGCATCATTCAGTCTTGGAAATATTCGTGATACACGGTACCACATCTACTATAGATAATTATGCATTAACGACAAATCAAAGGTACCACGTTTAGTTGAAAACGTAATAAAAGTATCTCATAAATAACTATCTTAGTCAAAAGACATTTTCTAAAATGGTATTTATTACAAGGTTTTAAGAATAGTAGCGTAAGATTGAATTACTACAAGAATCTAGTCTAAAATCTAGAGTATTCTGAGTTCACATTGAAATGAAGTTTCTTTCTCCTGTGAGTTCATCTCCGCAGTTCTTCAATGTCCTTC